GGTTGCTGTTGCGGCATAAACCGTGTACGCACAATCCAATATAAATTAAAAAGTTTATCTAATGTAATTGTTAACTTAAAAAATAAAAAACATTTAAAAAAAATTATTGATTAAATACATTTTAATTAAAAATAAAATATATTCTGTTGGTGATAAGATAAAATTTAATTAAATGCATAATTAATTATAATTTGTCGTTAGTGTTTTTTGGTATATATGCATGAATTACTTATAAGTAATTGATGGCTAACTTGACCACAATTATGTGTTCTAACACAGTAACATGTTAATAAGTGTGAAAGATAATGCTTGAATCTTGTCGGTCATATCATTTCACCCACGGATTAATGACGAATTTTGATTAATTATGTATTTAGTTAGATTTTATAGTTAATCCATCAGTAATTTAATCAAATTATTTTCTATTTTTTTAATTTAAAAAATCGTCAAGAAATATATTTTATTTTTAATTAAAATAAATTTCATCAGCAATTTTTTAAAATTCTTTTTTTCAATTTGAATCACTGACAATTTAATTTTTAGTTAAAATAAATTTTATCAATAATATTTTTAAATGTAAATACTTTTTTGGTATATTTGTTTTATTTTATAGATGTAAGTATTTTTTTGTTCAAAAAATGTTTAGGGACTTAATTGTTCAAAATATGAAAGTTTATATTGATTTTTTTCCAGATATTTTCCATTATTTTACCACATTAACCAGTTGTATAGGTCATAAGAATGTATCCAATAGGTTTTAAAAAGTCAAATGAGTTATTTAACATGTTTTGGAATGTCCAATAATTTGTTTGTCCCAAAAAATTATCCAAAAACTTAATCATTTCAAACACTAAATTCCATTGGGTTTTTTTAGATTTTTCCATTTTTAAATATAAGTACTTTTTGTAAAATGCAAGTACTTTTTTGATATATTTGTTTCATTTTATAGATGTAAGTACTTTTTTGGTTCAAAAAAGGTTTACTAACTTAATTAGAGATGCTCAAAAATCCGACCAACTTGATCAACCCAACCCAACACAACCCAACCTAACGCAACGTGAAATAACTCAACTCGATGTCTAATCGAATTGTAAAATTTTCAAACCGTAGGTATTGGGTTACTATTTTTTGAACTCAACCCAACCCGATGAACCCGATATCCTTTTATTTCTTGGATTTAATATAATTGTTGAATTTCTATTAAATATATACATCATGCAATAACACTATCACGTACGCTTTTCATATACACATCTTTTCAATCTATTCATATCTCTATATAACGCATTCGTATATATGTTCAGTAACTATAAACATATATATGTAAATTGAGAAAATTAACTGAATGTGATAACTTAAGAAGTATGGAATAAATTGTATCAAATGATTGATGATGAAAAATAAATTATGAGTAGAGTAATAACGTATTCAATGTTAGAAGAATATTTAATGTACCAAAGTATCAACCCGACTAACCCGTACGGTTTGGGTTGGGTTGGGTTGCACTTTCGTTTGGGTTGGATTGAGTTAAGATTTTTTAAACTGCAAATATTGGGTTGGGTTGTTCAAATGTTTTCAACCCGATCAACCCAACCCATGAGCATCCCTAAACTTAATCGTTCAAAATATAAAAGTCCATTGATTTTTTTTTCCAGACTTTTTCTTTATTTTGCCACATTAACCAGTTTTGTAGGTTATAAAAATGTATTTAACATGTTTTAGAAAGTGCAAAGAGTTATTTAATAGATTTTGGAATGTTCAACAACTTATTTGTTCCAAAAAATTGTTCAATAACTTAATCATTCAAAATATTAAAGTTCATTAAATTTTTTTAGATTTTTCTCTAATAATAATCATGTTTAAATATTAAATCACCTATGAAATAATATTTCGTAAATAACAAATTCAATCATTTTCAGTTATTATTTAAAAATTAATAAATAAATAAAAACAAATATCGTGATTGATACATATTTTATAAAATAAAAAATAATACAAAAAGTTTATAAATATATCTTAATCAATATATTAAATTATAGTCTTGGATGAAAAAAATTTGTAATTCCTTAAAGCGTAAAACAACAGACTGGTCCAATAATTTCGAATATAACTTAAAACCATGGTGTAAGTATGTTCACAACTTGAGACTTATAAAAAACTCACAAATCCTCTTTTTTTTATTGATTAACCTGAATATCCAACTCGCTATACGAGCTGACTAATCTCAGTGCGACCACCTGCTTTGCAGATAGTCCGGAGTCACTGCATTTGAACCTCCGTGGCCACAAGGAGATTTTTATTCTTTCTTGGATTTGAACTTGAGACCTTATGGTATTTTTGACTTTTGGAGCCAAGCTCAAATCAATCAGGCACCACCCTTGTGGTTCACAAGGAGTCTTTTCTATCTATTGAGATGAGTTGTTATAAAACTATTGTAGAACAATACCTTAAGATAATAGTTATCACAATATACGAGGTTTTCAAATGATAAAACCCACTTACATATATGTATACATATACATGTATGTATATGTATTGTAGGGGTTGATTCAAATAGAAGACTAAATATCGTAAAAATGTAAGAATAGAAGGTTAAGAGAAGTTTTATACGTGAATCATTAAAAATTCTATTTGAAGATGATATGTGAACCAACATTACAAATTATATATGTAAATCTTCAATTGATTTTTTCAGTAATTCATATATGAACCTTTTATAAAATACGATTAAATATTTTTCTAATGGGTTATTTTGTTACAGGTCCGCTTACTTTCAACTTCGACCATGCTCCGGAAAACCTCACAATCGAACGAAATCCAAACTCTTGGACAAAGGTTTTTATCCCTCATTCGATATATGATTATATATATATATATATATATATATATATATATATATACTTGGGATCACGTGAAACCAGCCTGTTTTGGTGAGACCCGTGAGACCATTTTTTTACACTTGAAACTTCACGGCAAAACACTATGAAGAGTTACCTTCACAGTGTTTTTGCTATGAAGATTCGGTTTTTTTACCTTCACAACATTTTGCTGTGAAGTTTCAAGTGTAAAAAAGTAGTCTCACGGGTCTCACGAAAACAGGCTGGTCTCACGTGAACCCAACTTTTTTTTTATATATATAGACTTGGGATCACATGAGACCAAGGGTTTTTCGTGAGACCCGTAAGACCAATTTATGTTTATTGATCAACTTTATAAGCTAATGGTCTAAAGTTGCACGGTGACAATTTTGTGATTATTGAGAAGTCTCGTGGCAATTTTGTGATTATGAATGTTTAGATTGTAATAACAATTAAACGTATATAAAGGAATTAAATGGTTGGTTTGGTTAATGTAGATGGCTAATGTGATATTCGTGGATATGCCTGCTGGTACCGGATTCTCGTATGCTACATCAAAAGAAGGATGGATTAGTAGCGATAGCATTATCGTCAAGCAAGCTACTGATTTTCTTCGAAAGGTCTGAATAATTCTTTATAATTTTATTTTTTTTGAATTTATGCTAAAATTTGATATTTAAAATTCTAAATAACGTGTATCTGATTGATGTATACAGTTTCTTATCGACCATCCTAAGTTTTTAAACAATCCGTTATACATATCTGCAATTTCTTACATGGGAATTGTGACGCCTAGCATTACTTTGGAATTGTACAACGGTAATTTATTCGGTTACGTGAAATATTTAATATCGTTATGTCATCATGAACGAAATTGTGATATTCAGAAATTTCTTGTTTGCAGCGAACGAACGTGGAGATCAACCGGCATTGAACATTCAGGTAAATGATTCAGCCATTACAACAAAATGGGCTTTTTAGGACGTCTAGCGGTGTTTTGATGTCCTAGTACAGTAAATAAGGGGACTTTTAAGTTTAGAAGCGTTGGAGTCTCATAACGGCTAGACTTGGACCATTTCCTATATATATATATATATATATATATATATATATATATATATATATCACACACATTGGAACTTTCTTATCTCCTCAAAGGCTTTTTTGGAAAGTAATCCAGGGGTTTCACATATTCTCTCATGGTATCAGAGTCGAGATCTACTATTCAGGAGATTCGACACTCTAGGCAATCTGTACTCATCTGCCCCCTCTTGACACTTTGGCACAATATGTGGCCGTCTAGCTTGGAGGGGGGCGTGTTAGAGTCCTACATCAACTAGTCTAGCACCATTTCTTCTCTATATATGTTGGAACTCTCTTATCTCCACAAGGCTCTTTTAGAGAGTAATCCAGGGGTTCTACATATTTTCACAATAAGACCAACTATTGTGTGTCCTATACAATGATGTTACAGTAAATTGTTAAAGAACGAAGTTAGGTCACTCATGAAAATACGAAAACTAATGTTTGTTTCTTGAATCGGGATGTAGGGGTACATTCTCTGCAGTCCTCTTACCGATAAGTTCATGGATTTCAACTCTAGAATCGAATATGCTCACCGTATGGCACTTATATCCGATGATATTTACAAGGTAATTATTTTGAACTTGTATTATCACCATTAATTGATTAAATTAAACGATGGGTTATGCTTATAAAGATTTGATTTCGCAGTCTGCAACAGAAAACTGCCGCGGTAATTATGTGAACGCCGATGGCGCCAATTCCATTTGCAAAAATAGTCTTGATAGATACCAGGAGGTGAGTCAATCAATAGCATGAACCATGTTAATTAATTCGTAAAAAAGGTTGGTTGACAAACCTTAATCGGATCACACGGAACCCGCCTCTAAAAGACACTAATATGAGTGAACATTTTTTGGTCCACTCAACGATTTGATGTGTCGTATTTGGACAAAATCATTTTACCCTTTTGACAACTAAGTTACACGTCAAATCATGTTGATTATAATTAGCTTCGTAAATATGTATGCAGTGCACAAGTGATCTAAATATGGAAGATATTTTGGAGCCCCTTTGTAACAAGTCAGACGTCAAGCCATATTGCCGAGTAATCTCTCTCTCCCTCTCCACACATATACACACACACACATATATAGGGTTGGGTTCACGTAAGACCAACCTGTTTTCATGAGACCATTTTTTTACACTTGAAACTTCACAGCAAAACACTGTGAAGGTAAAAAGAGCCGAACCTTAACCGGGTAAAACACTATGAAGGTTACCCTCACAACGTTTTGGTGTGAAGTTTCATGTGTACAAAAGTAGCCTCACGAAAACAGGCAGGTCTCACATGATCTCAAGTGTATATATATATATATATATATATATATATATATATATATATACACCTGATAATGTGAGAAAAATGGAGGTATCTCATTGTGAATGTTTGTCGTAAGAAATATCTCAAAAGTGTTATCTAAAAGTATCTAATACCATTCATTGACCGTTCAAAAAAAAAGTATCTAATACCACATTTTATTTTGCAACACTTTTACATGTGACAAACAATTGTTTGGTTCTGTAAACTTAAAGTCATATAAAAGAGTCTGTTAAAACAATCAGACGTTTTTGGGGTCCTATAAACCAGATTTTGTTGTAGTAAATCTTCACAGTATAACATTTATATAAAGGTATCTTCACTTGTTCTCACATTCTCAACCGTGGAGGAACTTGTGCCATAATGGTTGAACTCAGAGTAGGAATTTCGAAAAACTAATGGTGGTTTCGTGTTCCTTTTGCGCGTTCAGGAGTACTATTACGATTTTGCAGTGGACTGGGCAAACGAAGAGGCCGTTCAACAAGCTCTTAACATTCGTCCGGTATATAAATAAACTCAATGTCATATGGTTTGAAATAGGCGTGAATTCCGGATTATGATTCAATAAATTTACGTTCAGGGAACGATTGGAAAATGGGAGTTCTATAACACGACAATGCATTACCGAGAAGACAAAAACGACACATTCTGCTACGCTTATGATATGTTCAGTAGCTTCGCCTACCACAAGAAGCTTGTTAGTAAAAATTGTCGAGCTTTGATATTTAGGTAACGATAATATAGTCTCCCCTAATCGAAATATATATGATATATTTCGAATGCTTGTACATAATATGTGTCGTTTCATTGACAGCGGTGATCATGATATGACATTTCCGTACGTTGGAATTGAGGATTGGATATCCGCTCTTAATCTCGGAATCGATCGCCCGTGGAAGCCATTCTACGTTGACGGTCAAGTTGGAGGGTGAGAAACCCGACTCCATTTTCGTTTTTCGTACTTTAATCGTACATATCATTTACTAATTTCACGTCTTTTCTTGTAGATACGACATGACATACGCACAAAACGACTACTCCTTGACATTTGCTACCGTTAAAGTAAGACATTCGTTACTTTAACCGTATGTGTATACATATAACATATATGTGTAGAGAAAGTTCATTTAAGAGTCGTAAATATTTTGAAAATCGTAAAAATCCACTAGAACAAAATTGAGTTTATAGGACGTCTAAAATGTCGAAGCGTCCTAATAGAATACTTTATAGGACCAAACTATAAAGTTTTCTATCTAAAAGCGTTACAATAGGTTTATAGGACGATTTTGGACGTTTTAACAACTTTTTAGGATGTTTTAAAAATAAATTGTCATATTAGCTATTTTATAAGACACTTTTGAGAAATGTCCTATAAACACATCCTTTCATAGGACAGTTGTGTCCACATGACATATTTTCAAAATACTATCATATAAAATAGTTAATAGGACAATTTACTTTAAAAGCGTCTTAAAAAAATTGGTTGAAACGCCTAAAGTAAATGTGCCTATAAACCTATTGTAACACTTTTAAATATGATGTTTTTTGGGTTAGTCCTATAAACATAAGTCTTTTAAAATATTTTATTAAGACACTTAAACATTTTAAGGCTTCTATAAAATCAATTATGTTGTAATAATCATCCATTAATGAATTATTCATAATGAATATGACTACATTGTTTATAATATTCATAATGAATAGTGGGTTATTATTAATATTTGATATTGTAGGGTGCGGGTCATTCAGTGGCACAATACAAGCCAAGAGAAGCTTATGTTCTAACAGAGAGGTGGCTTGCATCAAAGTCTTATTCAAGTGCCATTTAAGGCATCAAGAGCTTAGTTTATTTATGATCCTTAAAAATTTAACGAACATTTATTTAAGGTTTCAAATTCATTCGGTTAAGGTTGTTAATTAGCTGCTATTTATGAGATGAAATTGGAAAAAAAACCTCGGTGTTTGATGATAGGCGTAGTTAAAATACATGAATAAATCATGTGCACGATGCGTGTTATCTCCATCTGTCGTGATTGAATTGTTTGTTCCTGAAGAAGATGATGGTTTGCTTAACTTACAGATAGAGCCAGACCCGATGGTGACACAATTTAACTGTAAGAAAAAGAACTGTAACATCCCATTTTTTGTCAAATGAAATGTTACGTCATTCAATATACATCGTTAAATACTTCAGTTAAAGAAATCTTAAGAGTTAACCCGTCCCATACTGGGTCATTAAAACCAACTCCAACTACAATCAGAAATACTTTAAATAATTGCACCAATTAAAACAAGAAATTTGGAATCCTAAACGAGCCTCTTGTTTTTGCCGATTCCAGAACCTTCTGCTCCTGAGATGTATGCTATAGTCGATTAAATAGCTCAGTGAGTTCACGGTTTACGTGCAACCATAATACACACACATTGACCATATGAAAGCCAATAAAGGAGTGTCATGCAAAATATATGCAACCCCAACGAGATCTCTCAACTCCGCTCAATTAGTTATGACATCTAATAATATCATTTACTCATTTCCTTAAAAGTTAATAGTCCATGGTAAATATTTTCTATGCTTCAATCGTCTGTGAAAACATTTAGAGCATCTTCAACAAATTATACCAAAATTTCTCTAAAAATGTAAAGTCTAAAATCTAATGAAATATTATAGTCGATGCTGCTCGGACTATGTTGCCTTACTCTGGTCTATCTCTGTATCTGTGGGCCGAAGCAGTGTCTACTGTTTGTTTCATGCAAAATCGAACGATAATCGTCAAACGCTTTAATAAAACTGCTTATGAGTTGATAAATAAATGAAAACCATGTAATATTTATCTAATAAAATATTATTATTTTTGAATATTTATTTTTAAAGTTTTTTATTGATGAAAATATATTAAAAATTATTTATCTCTCATTTTAATATTTTCGAGATTTTCTCCGAGAGATTTTTACACTTTTTTTTATCTATACTATATTATAAAGCATTTGACAAAAACTCTTAAAAACCATTTTTTATACATGAAGTACTGTTTATTGATGCATATTACTTAAAATTTAAGATTACAAGTAAATTGTGTATAAATACAACTTATTAAAGCTCCATAAATCTCCATGCTTGAATTTGTGTAACTAACTGTAGATAAACATAATCAAATACAGAATAAACATTTCATTTTAAATATAAAAAATCTAAAATATAATTAGGATAATCATTGAGTTATGACATAATACTCAATTATTATCCTTATAAAAAATATATTATTAAATCAAAAATAAATTAGTTCGTTATTAAATCTAAATTAAATTATAATAAAAAATGAAATTATAAAAATTATAAAAAAACAAGAACTTTTAAATAGTTAATTTGATACTAATATTGATATATTTATTTTCGAAATTTTATGATATCTTCCGATTTATATTTTATTTAAAAATAAAAACATTATCTCTTTCAAAAAATCACATAAACACCGCATTAAAACATATACAAGGACAGAATAAAATGAAACATTAAAATTAAGACATATCTCGTTACATTGTACGAGTACCGTTCTTGTTCATTTTTTAAAATGTATTAAAAAAAAAAACCCAAAATCTCTATTTTTTAGTTGAAGATGTTATTAAATGAGCATATCGCCAAACATAAAACTACACAAATCCATTTTCTTTTACCCCAATAACCAAACAGCCACAAAACCTTGGCTGAACACACACAGCCAAACAAAAGCGTAAAAATCTTGGCCATCATCCAAATTCGCAAATTTGTCCGCCAAAGGAGAAGGAAACACCATTGACTTCACAATACGCTCTTCCTTTGAAGAACAATTCTCTCGTAATCACACCCAAATCATGTTCAATTCCAAATTATCCTTTCTGATTTTACTTCTTCTATTACCCCTATCATCATCATCATCATCTCCAGAAGCAATTCAGGGTTTAGTCGAACGTTTGGATACCCAAAGACCATCTCCATTCTTACAAGAATCTGCTGCTAAAGCTCTTCTTAGAAGATTGCTTCCTACCCATTTGTCCAGTTTTGAATTCAAGATACTCTCCAAGGTTCAATTCCCTATTTTATGTTCTTGTTTACTTCATAACTTTACTTACCCTTTATGCATTGGTTGATGGGTTCTCGTTAATTTTAAGAATAATTGCAAAAACATTCGTTTCTTGGATGATTAGCAGGAGGAAATGTCGAATACAACAGTTCCACTGGTGAAGCAAAACAATTAAGTTTGATTCGATATGATAGGGGGATGTCTCATCGCACCTTGAATGTGTGTGGAAAAACTATACTATTTCATAATTTGGGAAGTTCTTGAACTGTAACTGGAAAATTTTAACTTACACCCTTGTTATTGTAAAGATCCAATATGGTCTTTATATAATTGGCTCTGTTCTTGTGTGTGTATACAATATATATATATATATAGACCGGGAAAACCATAAAAAATGGAAAACTGAGGAACACCTAGTAACCATTAATCAGTACATGGGCATAAAAGTAATTGAAAATGTTTCATGTTTCATGGTTTTATCTTATGCAGGTATGCATACCAAACAAATTATTGTTATACACATGTGTATACCGTACAAATGTTTCTCAGTTTTTCATTTTTTGTGGTTTTCTCCTGGACTTGAGTTTATATATATAGTGGGAGGTTCAAATAAAAATACTAAATATTGTGAGAAGGTAAGAAGGGAAGGCTTAGGAAAGGTTTCATATGTGAATATTGAGAAAATTCATTTGAAGATGCATATGTGAACCCATATGAATAAGCTGTAATGTGTATTCACATATGCATGTTTAAATAGATTTTTTACTTTGATCCACGAGGTTAAATGGATTTACTTTTCAATTTGTGAATTTATATAGATTCTGTGACCTATTTAACACCAATAAGAGTCTGCTTGACATCAAATGCAAAATAACCTTTCTTTTATTGAAGGGAGGGAGTATGAGATTGAATTTGGCTCAAATATGTTGTTTCTTTCATGGGTCAGATATGTTTATATTGCTGCTAATAATGTATTAATCGTTAAAATTCTCGTTCTCTTTCTATTTAAGTAGTAGAAATCGTCTGAAGTATCAGCACCTGATACGATTCATTTAAATTTTTGGTTCAAATACTAGGATGCTTGTGGTGGATATAGCTGCTTTTGGATAACGAATTATGAGAATTCAAGCAACAAGTCCGCAGAGATAACGTATGTATAATCTACTTTATTTCCGTTCTCCATATGAAATCTAAAGATTAACCCCCATAACTATTACAAGCACTTTGAGCTGGTTCAGCACTTCGATATTTCCCTTGGAAAAGATTCAGTCACATTTTCACTTCTTGAAAAAAGAAATATGCTAAGAGTTGGTTTTGTTGCTTCAATCAAAGAACTTTTGGTTGCCAATTAAAAAAACAACCAACTTCTGTACCATGTTTGTATGCTACTTCACAACAATGAACATGATCACTATATATATGTATGTATATATAGGGGTGGGTTTAGGGTAACACCACAAAAAAATGGAAAACCGAGGAACACCCTAATAATCATTCATTTGTCTGGCATGCACACGCACATAGGAACCGGGAAACATTTTCAATTACTTTTATGCACATGTGCATACCGGAAAAAATGCATGGTTGTTAGGGTGTTCCCCATATTTCCATTTTTTGTGGTTTTCCACTGAACCTGAGTTATACACACACAAACACATATATATATATATAGGGAAAGGTTCATTTGGGAAGTGGTAAATAGTTGAGAAGTAAATAAGTGATCCTAGCCCTTCATTTGGTCAACATTCACGGCTTTGACAGTGAAGTACTAGATAATTCCTCGCATGGTTAGGAGGAAGATGGAGGGGTAGTTTCGTAACTTTTGCAAATAGGCAGCAAACGAGTTTATATGTGAACCTATGTGATACACATATGAACCAGTTAATTAGTTCATATGTGAATCACAAAGGGTTCATATGTGAATCAGTTAAAATAGCTCATACGAGGAATTACACGAGTTCACTTATGAACATATAGTTCATATATGAATCACATAGGCTCATATATGAACCCGTTTGCTGTCTATCTATAAAAATTACGAAACTACCCTCTCTATTTTTCACGTAGCTGCAATTTTTGACCGGTCAAAGCTGTAATTATTGACTAGTTAAAGCCGCAATTTTTGACCAGTCAAATCCATATGAAAGGCTAGGATCACTTCTTTACTTCTCAAATATTTACAATTTCTCAAAATAACCTTTATATATATATATATATATATATATATATATATATCAGAATCGTGAGAAATAATATATGCATTGATGAATACACACCGTATAATCTTCAATAAGCCAATGCATATATACTTGCATATATAGTACATATATATTGATGAATATACTAATTGTATATACATATTTATATAGTGTATATGCATCAATCCAGTTCTTACGGTTCTCAAAATATTTATGTTTCTTGTTTGAATTTACCACTATATATATAGCTAGCGGCCGGGGGGGGGGGGGGGGGGGGGGGGGGGGGGGGTTCAAAAGTACCTTTTGTATATGATTCTTCTCACCTTCAATTTTCATCAGGGTCCAAGGCACTACAGCAGTTGAAATCGCGTCCGGCCTCCATTGGTACTTAAAGTATTGGTGTGGTGCTCATGTTTCCTGGGACAAAACTGGTGGCATTCAGATAGCTTCTATCCCTCCTACCGGCAACTTGCCACTTGTAAAAAAAGACGGAATTATGATTCAACGTCCGGTTCAATGGAACTACTACCAGAATGTTGTCACTTCTAGTTGTAAGTATCAACCTTTAATTATTGATGTTGGATTAAGTTTCCTTTTTAGGCATATAGTCTCCTTAATCTTGATTCTCGTCACATTATCTAAAGTACATAAACAAATAGTATTTATAGGTGCACATGTGCATAACAGTAATTTTTCCGCTATGTGTATGTGCATAAAATGCACACATGCATAGAAACTAGGGAACATTTTCAATTAGTTTTATGCACATGAATGGTTATTAGGGTGTTCCTCAAATTTTCATTTTTGTGGTTTTCCCCTAAACCCGAGTCTAGCGTTAGTATGCTTATATATAGGAGTCCCGTTGTGTACTTCTGGGGGGAGATAAAGTTTGCATACATCTTACCCCTTGCAGACTCCACCTTTGGGTGGGGCATACTGAGTTTGTTTCGTTTGGTTTGGTTTGGTTTGGTTTTATGCTTATATGGGAGTCTTGACATTGAGTTCTCTATTCAGGTAACTTAATCCGTAACTTAATCCAAACAAATAAACATGATTTTATTTATTAATTAACAGATTCGTACGTTTGGTGGGATTGGGAAAGATGGGAGAAGGAGATTGATTGGATGGCACTTCAAGGAATTAACCTACCTCTTGCATTTACCGGCCAAGAAACCATCTGGCAGAAAGTTTTTATGGTGAATTAAAAATATATTTGTTATTATGTAGGTTTGCCATAGCCATTTTTTCTAATCACCATGACACTTATTTTGAATTATCTGAAGTCAATCTTTGAAGTGATTTTTGCATTAGATAGTTAAATTACTAATGACCGTTCATGTGTAACCTTTCTGTTTGATTGCAGGATTTTAATATAAGTGCTCAAGATTTGAACAATTTTTTCGGTGGACCAGCTTTTCTTGCGTGGGCTCGGATGGGAAACTTACATGCGTGAGTCCATGTTTTTCTTCATTGTTTTTTTTGTTTGGCTCTTTATCTTGAAATCCTTTTTTGCCGAATAAGTCGTTGGTTTAATGAAGATCAGTATTGAATCATTTACACTCACTATATATATATATATATATATATATATATATATATATATATATATAGGGTTAGGTTCAGGGGGAAACTGCAAAAAATGAAAAACTGAGGAACACCCTGTTAATCGTTCATCTGGATGGTGTGCACATGTGTATACAAGTAATCTGTAAGCAATTTGTCCGGTATGCACACGTGCATTAAAACCAAAAAGCAACTTCGATGACTTGTATGCAAATGTGCATACCATCTAGATAAAGGTTACCAAGGTGTTTCTCAGTTTTTCATTTTTTTGAGGGGTTTTCCCTAAACCTCCCCCCCCCCTCTCTCTCTCTCTCTCTATATATATATATATATATATATATATATATATATTATCAATCATTCAAATGTAGATTGATGTTCCTATATCTCTACTAGCACATGAACTTGGTTGAACCATTCATTATGAACCTTTTAACCCTTTTTAGTGAGATCCTCAAGTGTTTAACTACAAGGATGTATCTCTAATCTTCGAATCTCCATCAATATCTCTGATCTTTGGAATCTTCTTTGTGTTTCTTTTCCTCTTTCTCTTTCAATAATGATTCAATGCTATATGTGTTTCAGATGGGGTGGACCTTTATCTCAGAACTGGCTAGATCAACAGTTGGCGTTGCAAAAACAAATCTTATCTCGGATGATTGAGTTAGGAATGACTCCAGGTAATCATTTTATAGTACTGAAACCTTTCATGTTTAACCACCGTTTGAAACCATTTATTTGCTTCATTCATCCTGACACCAAAATGATCCTAGTATATCCCACTTGAAGCTAGGGTCTTGGGGGTGAGATGTACACAGACTTGTCATCTACCCTAAAGAGTAGAGCGGTTGTTTCAAACCAAAACGAGCCCAGTATATCCCACCTAGAGGTGGGGTCTTGGGGGTGGTATGTATGCAAACCCATCATCTACCTTAAAGAGCAGAGCTGTTGTGTCAAACCAAAACGAGCTCCGTATATCCCACCCGGAGGTGGGGTTTTGAAGGGCAGTCCTGTCATCTACCCTAAAGAGTAGATTAGTTGTTTCCGCTTCACCCTGACATTCTAAACTCTAAATTTCCCATCCTTACGTTTCAAGAAGTTATGTCACCGTTTGATGCATAAATGCTTTCTGATGTTATATTCATTCAAAGTGATTGATATATTGTCTTTATAGTGCTCCCTTCATTTTCCGGAAATGTTCCGGCTGCACTAAGAGAGATTTTCCCATCTGCAAATATCACTAGGCTTGGAGATTGGTATGTGACCGACTTATTATACTCATATCAATTGAACTCACTTAGTAATGCGTTCTATGTTTCCATTCTCATAGGAACACTGTTGATACATTTAGTAATACGTTCTATGTTTCCATTCTCATAGGAACACTGTTGATGGTAATCCTCGGTGGTGCTGTACTTACCTTCTAGATCCTTCCGATCCTTTATTTATACAAATTGGGGAGGCGTTCATAAAACGACAGATCAAAGGTGAGCCGTATGCCCGCTAACCGTTTGTATTTTTTAATCTTATATATATACTACCATTCAATTTGATGGCAAATGACTTCTTATGTTGATTTGGATGTTCTGAAAAAAGGATCTTGTATTTGTTCAATCCATTTTTTATACTTTTGAGGCTTCTTAAACTGGTGTAGTGTTTCTTATCACTGCGTTTGGTCTTTTTGTATATTCATTGCAGAATATGGAGATGTGACCGATATCTATAACTGGTAGCTTCCGTAATCCTTGTTCATTTACATTCTTGCTTGGGTCTCTAATATGGTTGTTTAAAAATGGAATCTTGAACTTGATTTTAGTCAAGATTTGTAATTTTCTTTGGCAAAAGTTCATTGGTAGATTTCATATTTTCAATGGGTGCGTTTTGTATGCTGGACAGGACAGTACAGTACAAAAACTTGTTGTCTGATGTCTGGAGCGACATTAGACTGCGACAAAATAGGTGGGACCCCAAAAATCGGGAAGATGAGACAAGATTGGTTAATTACCAAACTACCCATGTCAAATTAAAACTCTTAAACCTTTCAAAATTCTTTCGCCCCGCCTACCTCACTCTCGCCCGTTCAGTCTTGTCCAGTTTTGTCTGCATACCAAATGCACCCTAAAAGACTGGGGGTTTTTCTAGTGTGGCGTGGATTTCTTGATTATTATGTTGCTACACCTAAATGAGATATTCCTAAATAATTACGGTATTTTACATAGCGATACGTTCAACGAGAATTCACCTCCAACAAGTGATCCTGCATATATTTCATCTCTTGGTTCTGCTGTTTACAAAGCAATGTCCAAAGCAGATAAGGACGCAGTCTGGCTTATGCAGGTATGTTTATGATTGTTTCGTCTTTCATTCTGTTAAGATAAAATCAAAAATTTGAAATATCATCTGTGATATTGGTTCCCCACCAGCACTGTAATAACTTTGCTAGTATGTTGATGGGACTGGACTAGACACGCGAGAGTGAGATAGGTGGGTGAAAGAATCGTGGAAGATTTTAAGGTTATAATTTGACATGGGTAGTTTAGTAATTTATCGATCTGGTCCCATCTCCCTGATTTTTGTTCCACCTATATGGATAAAGCTGTATGTGTGGATTGTTTGTATAGATTGGGAAGGTTTTTTCATAAGATGGAAGAAGCGTGTTTTATAATTGGGATAGGAAGGTTTGAAAAAACTTGGCTTTCTGCATAAAGCTTTCCCCTAGAAGCTTATGTATAAGTCACTTTTTATAATATTAAGCCATTACCAAACAGTCATGTATAACTGACCGAATAGTTTGCACGTCTCATTAAGCTCATTAAGCTGCTAACAAACAGGCCTTCAGTCTTGTCCAGTCCAAGTCTAATGTTGCGTCAAACGTGAGACAACAAGTTTTTGTTCTGTCCTGTCCTATCCCATCCTGGCCCACGTACCAAACACGCCCTAAAAAGCTTTAAACAGAGCTAGATGGCTGGTGACCTTCTATTGTCTGATTTTGATGCATTCGATTTACTTATACTGTTCGTTTGATTATGCAGGGCTGGTTATTCTATTCAGACTCATCGTTCTGGAAACCACCACAAATGAAAGTATGTTCTTATTATTTCTTCTCGAGTTTGGAGTATGTATGTAGACCTGACCTCTGCCTCAAAGAGTAGAGCGACTGTTTTCATTATTTCCGATCGATAAATCCTTTTGTGTTAACAGGCACTTTTACATTCCGTTCCATTTGGGAAAATGATAGTTCTTGATCTATTTGCTGATGTCAAACCCGTATGGGAATCGTCCTCTCAATTCTACGGCACTCCTTATGTGTGGTAACGTGATCATTTAACACAATTTGTCCCTCAGAAGTTATTAAATTACTCATGAATTTTAATTGTGTTGATGATCCGTACTCTATTTTGTGACTTCTGCATAAATTAGGTGTATGTTACACAACTTTGGAGGGAACATCGAGATGTATGGTGTATTGGATGCACTTGCATCGGGTCCTATCGATGCACGTATCAGCGAAAATTCGACTATGGTATGCTTCAATAGCATGACAAAAACTTAGAAAAAATCGATAATGAAGAGAAATTCACGGGACAGAAACGATTTCTTGATGCAGGTTGGTGTTGGGATGTGCATGGAAGGAATAGAACACAATCCCGTTGTCTACGAGTTGATGCCCGAAATGGCTTTTCGAAAGGATAAAGTTCGAGTTGAGGTGATTATACTTCTCTAATTGACCATTGAAATTGATAATTAGAGCCCTTTTAGCATCGGAAATGCTTTCCTTGATGAGATTACGAGACTACGAGATGCATTTCTTTTATTGTAAATACCGTTCTTGCTAATGATCCCCGTTAAGGCTAGAAGGTCGCTTGATCACGTAGCCTCGTATCATGCTTTTTACTCCCCCCGTCCCAAAATAACGTTGACTTTCAAAATTAAGTCCTACTTTCCAATTCTACCCTTATGAGATGGAGAAATTCATTACTTCATCTAAGGGCAAAATCGTCATTTACTTAAATTTGTAATAATTACACATTTCTAAAACTATGTCTTTTTCATTGTGGACATTTATTTTGGGACGGAGGGAGTACAATACTACTAACATATATAACCATCAAATAAGCTCGATGAAAATTTAAGCTATATCTACTAATGTAGGAATGGTTGAGAGTCTATTCTCGTAGACGTTACGGTAAATCAGTCAAACAAGCCGACGCAGCGTGGGAAATTCTTCATCGATCCATATATAATTGTAGCGACGGGATTGCGGTACGTTTTCGAAAACCGAGTCTTGATGTTTCTCATATTTCCTGCTCAACAACTTAGTTTAATTTCGTTTTTCTACATCTTCTTAGGACCACAACACGGATTACATCGTTAAGTTTCCGGATTGGGACCCATCATTGAACACCTACTCTACCTTCTCAAAACAGAACCGTACACCAAGCTTCATCACGACGCATAGAAATCGAAGGTTCATTTTAACTGAAACACAATCTACCTTACCCCAACCGCATCTTTGGTACTCGACTCGTGATGCCATCAACGCGTTAAAGCTATTCATAGATGCGGGCCAAGATCTTGCCGGGAGCCTCACTTACAGGTATCTTTCGATGTCGGTTTTGGAACCATTTGTTTTATATTTCTTGAAGGAACTTGTGAGAATATGTAGAACCTCATTAGATTACTTTCTAGAAGAGCTCTCGAGGAGAGAAGTAGGGTTCCAACATATATGGAAGAGAATGGTCCACGTCTAGCCGATGTGGGACTCCAACACGCCCCCTCAAAAAGGAGGCTAGACGGGCACAAATTCTCTCACGGTGTTAAAGGGGGCTAGACAGGTACAGATTGCCCTAGAGTGGCGAGTCCCTTAGAATGGTAGACCTTGCTCTGATACCATGAGAGAATATATTGAACCCCATTAGATTACTCTCCAAAACAATCCCTTATTAGAGAAAGGGGGTTTTAACGTATATTGAGGAGAAACTATCCAGTCTAGCCCATGTGGGACCCCAACAGAACTAACGATTTTTAGAATTTTTATAGGTACGACTTGGTCGATCTAACACGACAAGTGTTATCAAAGCTTGCAAATCAAGTCTATTTAGATGCTATCATAGCTTTCCAACACAAGGATGCGAAAGCTTTGAAGTCTCATAGCCAAAAGTTCGAGCAACTCATCATCGACATCGATGAACTTCTTGCTACGGATGATAACTTCCTTCTTGGGACGTGGCTCGAAAGCGCAAAAAAGCTAGCTTTAAATCCTAGTGAGAAACGGCAGGCGAGTAGCAACTCATGCTTTAAGGCTTTGGTCATAAGCTTATTGAAAAAAAACCCCTTTTGATAAGTCATGAGCTAGAAAAGCTACTTCAGATAGCTTATCGGGACTTTTCCAATTTTTTCCAATTATACTCTTGTATTTTTTTCTTTTTGGTCATTTTATATTCTTATCTAGCGTATCAGCTACCACCTAGTTTGCCAAATCTACCTGTTCTCTCTGTCTCAACTTTTTTCCATCTCGTTACAGTATGAGTGGAATGCAAGAACACAAATAACGATGTGGTACGATACGACAAAAACGAACCAGAGCCAGCTTCATGATTACGGTAACTTCTTCAATTAGCGGTTTATTAGAATTAAGCGTATTATCCTCTGTCCAACGGTTTCAGTTACTCAAAACATTCGTTTTGGTTTACGAGCAGCAAACAAGTTTTGGAGCGGATTATTGGTAGACTACTATCTCCCACGAGCTTCGATGTATTTCAACCGTTTGTCTGAAAGCTTGAGAGAAAACACGAGATTCAAGATAGTCGAATGGAGAACGGAATGGATTTCGTACTCGAACAAATGGCAACAAGATACAAAGCTTTACCTTGTGAAGGCCCAAGGGGATGCACTAGCGATTTCGACGTCACTTTTTCAGAAGTATTTCGGGTAAGTTTATCGTTCTACATCGATGGGAAACCCGAAAACAAGTAGCTGGAAACATACTCTGCTCAACCAGCGAAAGAAAAAGGTGACAAGGGCGTCTAAGTTACATTTTGAAAGTATGGGGTGGTTTTTGGCAAGTTCAGAAATGAGTGGAACTTTGTGAAGAAAATTCAAATTACCTCCAGTGTACATGGAAAACCTCTGTTAGATGTGTTGAAGTGATATTTGCTGTTTCAGTCCCTGTATTTTGCAATAAGTCAGTGGCTGGTCCCTGAGGTGTTAAAAAATACTTGGCAGGCCATGGATCATTGTTTTTAGTTGTTTTTGCAATAAAAAGTAAGTACTGATAAATAACCATATTTGTGTAAGAAGTTAAAATATCATATTTGATATACATGTGATACGAACAACTAATCATACATGATACATCATATGTTGTGGCGATCGACATATGGCGGGTGACTTTTCTCGTGACCTTTGGTCATGTTCACCAAGTCGCATGGGTCCCTTTTGGATATGCTGTATCATATATGATTACGTGTTCGTATTACATGTAATTATGTGTGATCTTATAACTTCTCGTCTTCTTGCAAATTGATCCTACTATATATAACGGAACATGTTTTTCATTAGCATCTCTAACAGATTCTCCAAAATGGATAAGTAAAAAGTCAAAATCTTCAAAAATGGAAGTACGGTCATCTCTAACAGATTCTCCAAAATGGATAAATTATAAAAGATTTAACATTTCTTAGTAATTATATGGTATTTTGATGGAACGAAATTATTTATTTTCATAATACCAAATATGTCTTTAACCCAATATACCTTAACCTAATAAAATCCAAAATGACCATCATTGACCACCATCGATCTGAACCACCGCCAACTACTATCGATCTTAACCACCGTTGACCACAACCGATCTGAACCACATCCGACTATGGCCATATGAATAGCCGCTGCCACCGCCGATCTGAACCCCCGTCTATCTGGACCACCGCTAACCACCTCCATCTAAACCACCGTGGACCACCATCGATCTAAACCACTGCCGACCACCGTCATCTGAACCATTGCGGATCACCACCGATTTGAACCACTGTAGACCACCACCAATCTGAAACACCACCAACCATCGTTGATTTAATAACGTTGTTTGACTTATGGTTATATTTCGATTGTGTATTTTATATTGTTTTACATATTAAATAATTATTTTATTAAAGTATTTTTAGTTTTTAAAAAAATAAAATTTTCAAAAAAGCGCATTTTAGTCGTTTACCAATATTTCATTCAAATTCCAAAGCCACATTCTGTGAACCAAACAGACAGATTCCATTTCCTTAACAGATTTCATCCCAACGTCTCCCAACCAAACAGGTGGTCAACCCTTATAACATTTCATTCCAATTCATTCATATTCAAATTCTTTTAACAAATTTTATTCCATCCAAAAACATTATGTGAACCAAACGTCATCTTAAAGTTTTGGTTGTAACTAAAACTCAATAAAACTTTGAATCATAAAATCGAACCATATAAAACTAAATTTGAGATATGAGGTTATTGGGGTATAAAAAAACAGTTAAAAACAAACTCAAACTCCGATTTCTCTTTAAAAACTCCAATTTGACTTTGGACTTCAGACTTGGATCTTTTTCAAAACTCAACGATTTTACAAGTTATTTGAACCATTTTTTCCTTTAACCGATACTCTCTATTAGGGAAAATTTGGCTTTTTACTTGAAAAAATCAATCCAAACCACGATTTAGCGTTGTGAGGTCGCCATATCTAAACAGAGTTGTATGGTTGGCTAAACCAGGTCCTTGGGCTATGAATCTGATGACATTTGGCCCCTTCTAGCCTAGTGGTAAAGGCTTGGGCATGGCATAGTCATGAACTCAAGTTCGAGCCCTGAGAGGGGAGTGTTGGCGACATTTAAGTGGGGTCATGTTTAGCCTCCAAATTTGCCGGGGATTAGTCGGGCTTTGGCCTGGACACCCTTACAAAAAAAAAAAAAAAAAACAATATCATTAAGGCCCTTGTTGTCACAATTTTGATAAAAATTCAAACTTTCTTACCTCTGAATCAACATTTTACTTCAAACTCGGTCTTTTCTTTTGATTATTTTATATTTTAAGATGTACACAATTATTTCACTCAGTCAATCACATAAATATTTTAAGACTTCTAATTAATTTATTTATTTTATTCACTATTTTAGGTCATCGTTATTTTTTTATAAAAATATTAAAGACTCCTATAATATATTTTGTTTATTTATTTATTTAAAAAATTTAAGGTTTTACTAATATCATGATAAATGAGCTTGAATATTGCACACCAATTGTTTCATAATCAAGCAAATATATGGAAAGTAGCGACTTATTTTTTAGGTTGCATTTGGTACATGAGACTAGGGGTGTATATGGATTGGGTTAGGCGGTTTACGACATTTTTACAACCCAGCTCAAATATTGCGGTTTGTATAAATCTTAACTTAATTCAATAGTATAACCCAACCCAACCCAACCCTTGTGAGTTGGGTTGAGTTCGGTTGGGATTGACGGGTTAGTAGTTACATAAATTTGACAAATAAAATACTTCATTAAACTTAAGTTCATATGACCAAACTATAAAACGTCATATCTAAAAATGTTACAATAAGTTCATAGGATGTTTTTGGGCGTTTCAACAAGTTTTTTTATAATAATCTTTTTTTAAAAAAAATGTCGTATTAGTTATTTAGAAACATTTTGAGAAGTGTCTCGTAAACTCATATATTTATAAGAATCTTTATACGACACTTTGTCAAATAGTATCGTATAAAATAACTAATACAACATTTTATTTTAAAAGCGTCAATTTTTTTTGTTAAATCGCCCAAAATCATCGTATAAACATACTGCAACTCTTTTAGATAAAATCTAATGTTGTAACTAAATATTTTCTTTCCACTGAAGTACACATCAAATGAAAGAATCTTTGAATTGACAGATTCGTCGACCAAATTTCTATTAATATTATTCATATTCTCCGGCATATTCAATTTGTTGTTGTTGCAATTTTTTTTAAATAATTTTCTCTTATTAATTAGATTATTTGTCATTATTATTTGATTGTGAATCTTTTTTTGTGATCTATACATTTAACTAAAATAAAATACAAACATAATCTCAATAAAAATTATATAAACTTTTACACATTATTAATATATATATATATATATATATAATAAAAAAAACACACACACACACATATATCTATACTATCTAATTAAGCAAATTTAACAAAAGTCTTAAATTCTTAAAATTCTAAATGACCAAAATACTCTTTATACTCACTTTTTCATTTTTTTCACTTTTTCACCCCCTCCTCTCCTCACATACACTCACCCCCTCACAACCTATTTTTTTAAAATCTTAATTTTAAATTTACACTTTATATTCCTATAATTAATTAATTAATTAATTTACGTCATTTACTTTTAAATGTTTCATTTTAAACATTTATCAAATTAGCATACATAATCGTATATCAATTAAAACATATTTAAAAAATACATTTTTATTTTGACAAGTTACACCATTATAATCGTCTAGCTAATACTTTCGAAATGAGTCCAATATTGAATAGTTTTTGACTTAATTATATTATTATATATTATATATACTGTGAAAAAATATTTTTAATAATTACGATTTATACTTTTATAGTTATTTATTTATATATATGCTATATATTTTGGGATTAGGCTGTCCAAATTGCACTGTATAATATGTTTTGAATTAATATGTTCTTGGGTTTTTTGAAATATATATATATATATATATATATATATATATATACATGTATTAATTCAACCCTAATATGAGTTTCTGGACAAGAAAGAGGGTAAGCAGTTGAAATTTCATTTTAAAACCCATATTTTTTTGTCTTTTCATTGCTTATGATATGTCAAATTTGTAGTTTTCTTTATTGGTTTTGAGTGTTTATCTTAAAACTCAAGTTTCTTGGTTYYTTRCTCTTGRTGTAAATCGAATACATTTGTGGAGTCGTTTAAATATGTTGGATTTTAAATATATTGTATTTTAAACTATCATACAATTTTTTTCATCGATAGTCTGTAATTGGAACCATAACTTTTATTGATTCAAATTGTATTAATATGTAAAGATCAAGTGTAACCTATATCATCGTTAAATCTTATCTTATAAAACCAGTGAAACTTCAAAATCGTTAAAATTCATGGCTCCCGCCGCATTGTGCGGGTACACAACTAGTGTGTGTGTATATATATATATATATATATATATAGAGAGAGAGAGAGAGAGAGAGGTGGGTTATTATACAATCTGTTATATTTGTACAACCAATACAACTCAATCTTAACCGTTCATTTAATTTGATTAATATGTAATTTCATAAAAGTTTTGATTGTTTTCTAATATAAAGTATTGATCATAATTAAAGAACCTTATTCATCTTCCATAAATATTTAAATCATAATAAATGAACTCTCATCATTTCCATAAATATTTCAATTTATTGGGTTGCATTGGTTATACAAATGTGATGTGTTGCGTTTGAAACAAAACTATATATATATATATATATATATATATATAAACAAAATTAAAAATTATGATTGGTTAAATAAGATTTACATGTTTTATACAAATTAGATGATTTGTATTTGATCACTTCTTTATATATATATATATATATAAATCAAACAAATGTCAATGAAAAATTGAATATGAAATGACCATGTGTTTTCATTGATGACTAATGAAAAATAGAAGTTGACTTGTAGTTTGAATGTTCAAAGTGCAGCCATTGACTCCTAAATTTCCACCAAATTGCAAAAAGAGGATATTTTTATTTAAAAAAAAAAACAGAACAGGTCCCACTACTAAATGCTAATTCATCAATTTGTAACCAACACTTTTGTTCACATCTCTTTTTAATATTTTATTTTTTATATAAATTTATTTATTATAATATATAATTAAAATTTATATATTACTATGAACAAAATGCATTATAAATAATTTACAGTTTTTTAATTTAAATGATAAAATAATATGAAGATGGTTCAATTGAATTTCAAAGAGTCTAATACTATTTTCGGTTTAAAGTTTAGGGTTTTATATTATACGAGTATCAACCACTTAGACTCGGATATACAAATTAACAAAATGCAAACCGATAGAAATATGACGGAAGTTGGAATCGTTAGTAATCGCGGATCAACATGCTACGGTGAATATATACTCGAGTCCTGTGATTGAATCAAATAGGCAAGTTCCAACTCAATTTTAGAGCAAATTGATCGGTTTTCACTTGTGATGGTCTTAAAGCATATCTTCAACAACCATTGTTTTTTTGTCTTTGTGATGATGATATTATCAGACTACTTATCTTGTAGTCTGATAACGAACCATAGAGATAAATAGTCTGATAACAAACCATATCAGGAAGGATTAACTTATCAAAAACTACTTATTACCAGTTTGGCACTGGTATAAACAGATTTATTTTTTCTCATCCAAAAACTAACATTTAGCTTATCACCGCTGTCAGACTGAAATAAGTCAAAAAACACCTAAAATAAACAATCCCAAATACCCCCCTTAAACCATGGTTTTAAGTTGGATTTAAAGTTATTAGGTCAATCTATTGCTTTAAGCTTTAGAGTGTTAAAAATGATATAATAGCCAATCGTTGTACAATTGGAATGCTGGGTAAACGTCATCGGGAATGATGAGTCAACGAAAGGCCTAACAACAATACTTTTTTATGATTAACTCTATATTATGCTAATAATTTTATACCCTTGTTTGGAAATCTTTCTCGATTTGTCTCTAAAATTGTCCGACTTAAAAAAAATTAATATTATAAAATATATTAGAAGCGTACTCGCGCAATGCAACGAGATACATCGTGATTTTAATGTTTCATTTAATTTTGTATCTCAGTCGATGTTATAATATGGTTTTATGTGATTTTAAGAAAGCGATGATGTTTTTATTTTTGAATAAAATATATGTTTGAAGAT